TTAAAAATTCATTTATGGTTATTGAAGAACAGACTTAGAAATAATTTTTAAAATACTTTAAAATTAATGTCTTCCATTACCCTCAACATTTTGGTCATATTCCTATGGAGAAAAGTGAAATGGAGATAAATTCTCCCAAAGCTTGTCTCAGTAGTTGAATTTCAGACAAATTTAGGAAGAATCCATAAATTAGCAACATTTGCTGAGTCTCCGCTAAGGCATCTAGATAAGGATGCTAAGGAACTGAAAAGATACTAAGGAATATATGTGTGTGTACATATATATTTAGTGTACATATGTACATAGTATGCATATATATAATGTGTTTATATATGTGTGTTTGTGTGTGTATATATATATACTTTCCAACCTATTGTGATTTTAGAAACTGCTTAATATGGATCTAGTACTTTAGAAGCATAAAATCCAGAGATGATATGAAAGGATTTTTTGTATTGTGTGATCTTCAGATACTTGGTTTGGGGCTAAGACTGAGATAGAGATCAGGGAGATCTGAGTTGGGAAGTTCTGAAAGTGACACAGAGGGAGATATCCTTGAGCTACACTGTAGTGTATTCAGTGGGAGAAGCATTCATGTACTCCTTCACTTCTTAAAAGTTTTTAACTCAGTTTACTGGCAGATCATTTTTTTTGTCAATATATAGTCAATTTTGTTATGTAAATTAAAAACATTTAGTTCTAAAAAGATTATATAGCCATTTTTTTCTAGATATTATCTGGGTTTCATAAAATCAGAAATTCTTATGAGGTACTTTAATCAACCTGCTCCTGACTTCAATGCCATTTGTTTCTGCAGCAGGAGGGAATGTCCACTGCTGACATTCCTTAGCTATAGCACTCTTTCTTTCAGAATCTGGGTCTCTGGCAGTGGGAATTTGTGCAAGCCGAGAAGGAAAAGTAGCTTGTGTTAGATATCCACATCCCCCAAGGATGTTCATTTCTTCTCTTTGTGAAACCTCTCCATGTGGTTTATAGTTTACTTCTCTCTCCTTTAGGACCCAAGTGTCTGTTTCCTGTGAAGTTTATTACATTTATGGAAGTAAAACCTGGTAGAACTATTCTTATGTGGACATGTCAAGACTAGACAGAAAGATTTTAACTTCATTCTTATCAAAACTTAAGATATTTATAGATGCTTTTCATTAGAAGGCTAATGGTTCATTAGGACATCTATATCTTTCTTTTTCTTTAGAAGTTCCTAATTTTCCCATCAACCTCTGAATGAGTGTGACAAAAATCATTCTGTTGCTCCATCTTAATATAACATAAAATGAAATGTATTATGAGACTTTCATTTCTAATAGACGTCTCAATCTCGGCATGTCTGAAACTTAACTCCTCATCTCCAAACTTCAACCATATGCCCCACGACCCTCCCCTCTTGAAACCTGCTCTTCTCTCCACCTTCTTAATATCATTTGATGGCAACACCATTCTTCCAGTTACTTAGTTCAAAAACCTTCGTCCAATCCCCACCCCACTTCAAATTACCCCATCCTGGTCTACCCTATCTCTCTTACCTTGTTCTATTTTTTCTTTTTTCACAGCACTTATCATCTCTGGCACACTATATGATTTTCTTGTTTATAGTATGTATCGTCTATTGTCTGTCTCTCCATCTTAGAACGTGAGATTCTCAAAGGCATGAGGAAAAGGATCTTTAACCTCAGGACCTAAAACATTGTCTCCATAGAGGACACCCATAAAATGTTTGTGAATAAATGATGAAATAAGCTATGAACAAATTCCATAAGAGATTCTTGAGCTAGCTATTTTTATTGCCTAGAAGTAGCTAAAAGTACCCAATATGAAGGAATTCCTTTCTGACTATCCAATTTAGAATAATTCCAGAATTTCTTTGATTTGGCTTTCAAAGTAAGAGTGTGCTGGGTTGGGTTGGTTTCTGGAGACATCCTGCAAGTGAAATGAATTATGAGGACTAGAAGAATGATCTCTAATCTTATTGATGCGTAATCTTTGATAGATCTTTTATATGTAACATTTTGAGAACTGGTGGGTATAGGGAAAAACATTCCCTATGTTCTTGAAAAAAATCCAGTTTATATTTTGTGGCTGCTCTTATAATTCAGTATGATTACTTAATTCAAAGAACTCAGCTTCCATCCTGAAAACACTCAGTAAATATGGATGATTAAATTCGTTCTGCTTAAACTCACTCAACCTAGCTATAGGAGCTACGGTTAGATAGTTTTGTACCTATTTCTGCCCCCAAGCAAGAAAATAATTCAATTAGTTTTCTCTCAAAAATTTCTTAAGACATGGGAAAAAATAAAAAGAAGAAAGAACTCACAAGATATTTCATTTTCTTTTCAGATTATTAAGACAAAAAGCTATTATTTGTAAGGTACGTTGTGTAGATAATTTGTAAGTTGTAAAAGTTGAATTTTTATAGTTAAAAGTATTATTACTATTTTGCTTTTTCCAGAAGGACTGGCTTTTATTTAAAGTTCTTGATTAAAATATCTGAATCTCAGATCCATGTTTTTGAGTAATACAAATTAATATATTTGTACTTTATAGCAGTATTTCAGCTTACATGATGACCTGCTTCAAACTGACGCGATAGAAATGGTTAGGGCTTTGGAAACAAAGAGACACGGGTAAAATAATTTAACAATTTATAACTCACAGTTCTTTAATCCGATGCAAACCATCTGGAAATTCACATCACTTCAGAATTGGAAGGAAGTTGGAAATCTCCAAAAACCTCATTTAATATTTGATGGAACTTTGACTAAGAGACATCAAGTGATTTTCCCAAAGGTTCCACATCATACAGCTAGTTAATGGCAGAACCAGCCCTGGAGCCTTGGAGTGATGACTGCCAGGGCAGAACCTCTTCCCGATATACTGTGTAGTTTGCCTTATATACCTCTTTCCTTCTTAATTTCAGTTTAATTTTATTATTGCTTATTATCATTGGAATATAAATTCTGTCATGTTTAAGAGCAAAACGTAACCAAAAAGTCGGGCTACTATAGAGTGGCATAAATTCTGCCCTGGGGCACAGACTTGCACGTTTGGCTGCCAAACAACAATTTTATGTAAGTAATACGTAATATATGACTTTTTGCATCTCCTAGATTTTCTATCATGGGCGCATGCTATTTTACAAAACAACCATTTTAGAAAAAAATTATTAAAATAAAAATATTCATCATATATAACATCTAAATATAACACATATGATAAATATAAAATATAAAGCAGCATCTACATTTATTTTTCTCTTTAAAGAATAAATTCTATCATGTTTAAAATGTTATTTGTTACTTTTGATGTTTAGAAAAATGCATACTATAATAAGCTTTTTGAATATTTGTTCTTTCTTTTTCTGATTCCTTTTGTAAAAAGAGTCCTTGTCTAAATATATCTGCTTGCTCTTCATATATTCAAAACCAAACCTTTCAAGAATTAGATATATGTAACAGTTTAGTGTATTTTTTTTCCATTTGTGGGATTTCTTTTTTTTTTTTTTTGAGGAAGGTTACTTCTCAGCTAACATCCATTGCCAATCCTCCTCTTTTTGCTGAGGAAGACTGGCCCTGAGCCAACATCTGTGCCCTTCTTACTTTACTTTATATGCGGGACACCTGGCACAGCATAGCTTGATAAGCTGTGTGTAGGTCCATGCCTGGGATCTGAACTGGCAAACCACGAGCCACCAAAGCAGAACATGCGAATCTAACCACTACGCCACGGGGCTGGCCCAGTGGGATTTTTTTTTCCAGTTAAATTTCTCTTTTCATCTATGGTAAATTACCCAGTCAGGCTCCGCCTTTCTTGATAGTGACTGCACAATCAAAGGATAGAAGTTTAATCTATATTAGGTCCTCTGGTTGTTTTCATTTTAGCTTTCCAGAAGCTGAATTTTGAGCTAAATTAGCTGGCTACCTTGGAACTCGACCTTCTACTTTAACTTGGCCAAGGAGAGCATTCTTATTATGGAGAAATAATTCCTACCAGGAAGCAGTTTGTATCCAAGAACTATCATATTTCAAATACTATTAGTAGAAGCATTTAGCGGTGCTGATTGATTTGGATAAATCTGGAAAACAGAAATTTGTAAATTATTATGGGAAATAGAGTCTACAGGTTGGCTGGAGGAAGGAAAAAAGACCAAAGGAGGAAGGAAGCAATATTCTAGATAAGACAGAGTGTGGGATATCCTGGAGGAACAGTGGAGAGAGAGAGAAAGGCACTAAGCTGCTAAAGTATCCTATGCCTCTTGGAAGGAGTGTGATTTGGGGTAAAAGAGCCTTGGATGGAGAACAAGTGCAGTTAAAGCCCCTCAACTGAGGAGCACATGGTTGATGAGTCCAGCAGTAATGGAGAGGAGAGATAGCAGTTTATTCAGAATCAAGTTGAACCTGGTTCAGAACTTGGCAGGTCCTAACTACAGGACATACCTTAAAGAGGGAATTTCTTGCATTCAGAATGGGTCTTGAGGGCAGGGGCAAGACATGATGTGGAGTATAAGGAAATCTGGGAAACTGTTCAGCCTGAACAGAGAAGCAAACGTAGACTAAGATCTCATAGGTCAGCCCAGCATGGATATAACCCCACAGGTTGTGGCAGATATAAACTGGGTTTTATATGGTAGGTCACCTTGGACTTCTTGTGTCTAGACATAGTTTATCTAGTTAGTATTAAAAATGTTCATTATGGTATATTACTTGTTAATATCCAGCCTATTGTCAGTCCTTCCTGCTCTGGTCCTATTTCCCTCACTAGATTCTTCTACTTTCTTGAGAGGAGGGACTGTGGGCTATCCATGGTTCTATGTTCCGACTACCCCGTAATAACTGCACACCCACCCCCATGCACACTCTGGCATTCCTAAACTCCCTACCCTGCCCTATTTTTATCCTCTTGGGTTTATCATGATCTAATGTTCTATATAAATCATGTATATATTATGTTTATAATTTATTGTCTGTCTCCTCCTCCCAGAATGTAAGCCCCATGAGGGCAGAGATTGTTGTCTCTTCTCTTTGTTTTGTTTTCCAAATACCTAGAAAAGTGCCTGGGGATTAAGAAGTATTGAGTAACTAAGAGTTGTTTAAATTGTGTCCCCATTTAAATATCTTGGTTGGTGGCGTATGTCTTATGGTTATGTCATTCTCTTTCCCTTCCAAGTAGAGCCACAAAGCCAGATATTTAAATTAGCACAGTCCCTTGTTTTTCTATGAGTTGGGAGCAAGCACAATAGGCATTGGCCTGAAAGGAGAGAAAGAACATAAATTAAGATGAGACTCATCTGACTTGGTTCTAGTTCTGTTCTATCACTAATTTACTCTGCGACATTGAACAAATCTGTCTTAGTTTCATTGTCTATAGTATTTGTCTCACAGCTTTTCAAGGTAACCCTATGCAAGACATATTAAAATAGTTTTAAGAGTTTAAGACACTATACTTTTGTAAACACATTCTTATTATTGAAGCTTTTATTTTTTAAAATATTTTCCCTAAGATACCATAACTCTCTGTGCAGAATAAAATTTTAAGGCAAAATATATAATTTCTTCTTGGGTGATATTATTTGCTTAATATCCATATGAAATATTTCCTGGTTTAGAATATCAATCATTTTTATAAAGTACAATTTTTTTTTGTATCTTCTTCATGTGGATGTGAACATAAGTCACTCTGTTGGCAATCAGAAAATGAAGATTGGCTATTTGTAATCACCGCTTTTGGCTGAGAAAATACTGGAGTCGAAGTGAGGAGCCAAGTGGACGTTGGACAAAGGGTTTGTGAGAAAGGCTTAGGCAGATAGTGAGCACTGACGAAGAATGAGTTTGTCAGGAACTACCCCATCAGGTGCATGAGCCATAAAATGAGGCCGTGAGGAACACAGTGTTCCTGATGACAGTAGTAAATCCATTTCAAATATAGTGAACTGTTTGCTTAAACTTTCCCATGTTCTGTCAGACCTTTGGCACTGAAAATCAACTCAATATAGAAATTAGCTTGCCCAGAGGCTTCAGGGCAGAAAGACTCAAAGTACAGACTGTTGCATCAAAATTGTGTTTAGTAACACAAAGCTCTCATGAAATATTTGGTATGTTGCTTTTTAGAACTTTCTAGTTTGAACAGAATTTCCCCGTCTTGTATTACTATTTTAGCATAACGTTTGGAACAAGGTACTTACCTGATGAAATACAAATATATTCAGTTCTCTAACAAATCTATGCTCTTTTAATTTTAGTTTTTTATTAAAATTATACAAAGAAAATTGTTTGGCATCCCAAGGAAGCATTAATTGTACTTATTCTCATGGATATTTCATGTTTTATTTTTATTTTTATGTGGACTCTTTTCTTCTTTCCTGTTTCCAGTGAGGATTGTTTCAAATAAAGCTGTCTGATGTAGAAAGACATGGTTGCTAGGGAGCCAGAGTCACGATGGCTGATGTTACTAGGGAGGATACAGAGGTGAGTCCCTGATTACAGAAGAGAACCATTTTTCATTCTCCTTCAAACTGAGTCTTCTTTATATATAGATGACAGGTTCACTAACTCGGCAAGAATAAGACTCCAGAAAGAAATATGAAATTTTAATATGTTTTCTCAGAGTGATGTAAATCTAAAGATATTTCTTCAGGATGAATGGATGGGGTTTATGCCCACCTATATCTTAATCTACAGTGAAAATACTTTTGGAAATTCCCACATGGTGCAAATTTGGTTTGTAAAACTAGGCAAGCTCTCTAAGGGCTTGGTCTTGTCATCTGAGTGGGATGAGGAATCTCTGTCTAATATCTCTTCTGTCTTCACATTTGGTTAAGTAGAGGTCAATAAACGTTTACTGAGATCTACTATGTGCTAGGCATTTTACTAGAGACTTTCCACATTTTCTCATTTAATCCATAATCCTGATGCAAGGTATTGTCATTTCAATAAACAGTAGGAACTATTCTAGTCAGTGAAGAAGGGGGAATTTGAATCCTGTTCAGTGTCCCTAAGTTTTTTCTGTTAAAACATCTTCTGCTAATGAATAAAATAAATACATACACATATCGATTTCACATAAACCATATGACTAGTACTTTTTCTGTTAGTTTACTAATACTTTTGAAAAATCCATCAATGGTAAAGTTTAATGAAATACATTCAGGAGATTATTCTGGCTTTTGAAAACAGAATGTGCTAAATATTGCTTGGTTTTACCATTAGATGGTTTAATTGGTGCTTCATTGTTTGGGCTCCCAGTAGGATATTGTTAATGCCCACACAATTTAACTCAATTAAAAAAACTTACTGAGTAGATACCCTGTATACAATATTATGCTGGGATGGGTAAGACTGTCATTATGAAGCTTCTTGTATCTGCCAGGCAGATTATAAAAGGAAAGCATTTTGAGTAGAAATCTCAAAAGCATGTTCAATATTTGAAATTGGCAAATAGTCCATTCTATCAATATGTTGCTCTTCAACTTTAGAGAACTTCAATCTCCACCACCCTAGAACTCTTTAGTAGAGTCACAAGGTCAAAACCAAAGAGTATCTGCAACTTCCTTTGAGATTATGGAATGTTCACTGTCACTAGTATTCACTGACAGAATCTGAACAAGGGCTTATGGAATGAACCCATTCCCTTTACCAAAACGTTGTGAATGTTTGGGTTCACATGTGAAGAAGGCATGAGCCACGCCGAAGAACGGATTGACACCCTGTTAGCCTGAGAAGCCACATCTTGTAGTCCAGAATATCTTTTAGAAAGCAAAAGTGGATTAAAAAAAGGGAAAGAAATGTCCTTGGAGAGCTGGCTGTATGACCTGAGTGAGATTTATTGAGGCAATTATTGTGTCTGGGTTTTCAAATGTGCTGGAAAATTTTATGATCACCACTAGGCACTTGTAGCCTGGTCAGTGGAGATATAAGGGAAAGGTTATCTAATGCTTCTGAATAGGGACTTATTGTCCATGGGAATTAGGATTGAGAGTCTTTTCCATGTAGTGCTTTTTCCTATGCTATATTATTTTTTAATAAGTTAAAAAAAAGGAAAGTTAGATCTCTTCCTCTGAAATACCTGTTTGTTGATTACTATTAGGGGCAGGACATTTGATTAGGTGGACTAGCTCAAGTAGAGCAAATGCCACCCTACTTTAATAGAGGTTGCTTGGAAACACAGTGTTTGGGGGTTACTCCCTTAATGGTTATCTACGAATTTAACACTGCCCATCTCTTATCTCATAGAGGGCGTGGGTGAACCTTTAAATGACTCCAGTTTTAGAGATTGTGACACTGTGCATTAGACATCAGCCTTTGCTGCAGACCTGAGCCTTGAACACAGAGCAAGATAAGAGATTTATGTGAAAGACAAGACTTGTTTCTCAAAGCCCTGGGTGCTCATAAGACATGACAATCAAATAGAACTGTATGAGTTTTCAACATAGGAAGAGAGAGGACGTATTCTTCTTCACCCTTTGTGATTTTATCTATAAACCAACTTTCCAGGAAAAAGCTTATAAAGAGTTGCAGTAAGATGCGATATCTGTGCAAGCTGTTAAGGGAAATAGCAATACCAAAATCACCTATAAGACTGAATTGTTGGTAAATAAGCCAGTTTGTTTTGAGGGGTTTGATTGATCCAGTAAGTCAAAACAGCCAAAGTACTTGTATAAATGTTGATATATGTATACGTATGATTCACAACTCATCCAGAAATTGGTAGGAAGCCTTGGACATGGTTTCATATGGGTCACTCTTTAGTACAGAAAAGGATACATTCAATTCATTCCCAAGATATCTACTGAGTTCTTATTTTTTGTCACGCGTTGCAGATGTGGCCACGGATTAGATATGGGGAAAAACAATCCTACTATTAAAAAAAGAGAATATTTACTAAAAACAACATTGCTACTGAGAGAGATTACACAAAACAAAATAGGATTATTGAAACTTGGTCACTATGTTAGCCATCATCACCTATTCTAGAGACCGGCATGTTTTTAGGTTACAATTGCAAGAAATTAAAGAACTGTTTCATGAACATTTAAAATCTTTGTTCTTCAGACATGTACAAATGATTGCAGTTACATTTTTTCTTTTCTTTTTTTCTCTTTCAGCAGGCAGTGGCTACAGTTGATTCAGCACTACGTTACCAGAATAAGTAAAGGTCTATTTGCCTTGCATGATATTAAATTAAATCTGTCTGAGAGATAAACAACTTAAATTTTAATGCTTCACATTCAAGAGTGCATCTGGACTAATATTTAAGTAACACAATACATCTATCTTTCAGACTATGATTCAATGTTTTGGTCTTCTTTGCTTTTAGGCTTTTGTTGAAAGCTCTAAATTTATTTAATCCTTCTCTTTCCAGAAAGGTGAGAGTATTGCTCCAAACCTTGCTCAACTAAAAATACTGCGCAAATCCTACTTCAGATTTATCTACTGAGTTATTTATTTTACCAGTTTAGATCAAGGCTTAGTCATAAAGGCAAATAATATAAAGCAATATTACCTATAATATTCTTTTAGTATAGTTGATAGAAGTCTAGAATGACCACATCATCAAGATGTGCCTGTAAAGAAATGTGTTTCATGTCTTTCCCGACCAATTTGAATTACTCCATTCCTCAACTCACTGAGGATGAAGCAATTCTTCCAGGACTTCTGTATGAATATAGATATTCCTTTTCACTTTTCATATATCTGTTGAACCAGTGGAATATAAATACATTTTCCATTCCAAATTGCTTTTTCCTCCTTTATATTGGTATATATTGTTGCTGAACTACGTCCCTCTTTGTGGAGAGTTTGTAATATATAATATTTATAAGCTCCCTATCTTCTCTCTCTATAGACACCCACACACACAGCCACACACACACTTACTTTGCCTCATGAGATAAGATAGTGTAAGAAAAAAATATTGGGGACCCTAATACTATTCTTTCCATTAACTTGGAAAAGTTTCTAACCCTCAAAGAACTTCAGTTTCTTTATTTGCAAAATGGAGTCAATTATATCTACCTTTTTTAGGTTTTATAAAGATTAAATTAATCTGCAAAACAAAGAGTCCTGATAAATTGTGGGCAATAAAAACTGTCAGCCCTGTTTTTCTTGTTGCTAATTATTGAGTTTTTAGCAGGGCAAAGCAGGCCATTCTTTACTTTTTTCTACTAAGCTCCAAGAGAAATGGTAAGACCATATTTTACTTTCACAATATATAAGGTTGTCAATCAGAAGAAATAGGATTTAGTACTAGGAGATAATCATGGTATTATTTCATGTGTTTTCTTAGAAGTAACTGAAATATACTCCTTTGAAATTTTATTAGCCATAGAAACTGTCCTATAGTTCATCAAATTATTTCAATGAATGGAGTTGGTTTGAAATTTTGTGTGTTTTGGAAAAGCTTGTGTACAGCCCAAATATGTTTTCCACCATGCAAATATTCAGTTCAAAGTTATGCCAGAAGGACTTCTGATGAGTTTTAATACAACACAACTCCAAGATGTAGCAGTTCACATCTAATCTTTGAAAAATTCTGTGAGTCTTAGACATTTGTGGTAGTCTCCAATGATGGCCAATACTGGTTCCTTCCTTCTCTGCACACATATGCTGCTCCTCATGTCAAAAGATGGAAATTTCCATCTTCTTGAGACTGGGCTGGCCTTAGTGAATAGTGTGACCAATAAAATGGGGCAGGAGTGATGCTCGATAGCCTCTGAGCATAGATTATAAGAAGTTTCATATCTTTGTTGATTGTTTGGGATGTTTCCTCTCAGAATCAATCTGCCTTACTGTAAAAAGTCCAAGACACACGTAGAAGCCATGTGTAGGAGCTCCAGTTGACAGCCCCAGCTGAATCCTAGTTGGTAGCCATTGTCAATGGCCAGCCATGAGAATGAGCCATCTTGGGTCTGCAGCTTCAAATGTCCAGCCTTGGAGTCAAGGCTTCAACTGACTCTAGCTCCAGTGGCCACTGGACTGCAACCACATAAGAAACCCCATGTTAGAATCAGTCAACCTACAGAACCATAAGAGAAAAAGGTATAATGTTTTACACCGCCAAGTTCTGGGTAGTTTGTTATGTAACAAAAATATAGACAACTGGAACAGCATTATGAGCAAATAACATGGTGACTCCAAAAAACATGTTCACATAAAGATGTGCTATCAATTAAATTAAAGCTCAAAATATTAAGCAATGTGCACCCTTAATAGGCCCAAATCCTGTTTTTGATTTCAATGTGATCAGGTTTCAAAAAATATAGCGAGTGGATGGTGTTAGATTTGAGGGGGAGAATTGAAATATAGCATTTTGGAACTCTGAGCTTCATGTGCATCCATCCATTCATTTAAATATTGATTATGTACATATGCAAAGCAATGTGCCAGGTGCTGTGGGGGATAAAGGGATGAGTCAGAAAGTTGTCCCCATATTAGCATTTTGCAAGACCCTCCCTTTTCTCTCTGAAGACAATACAACACAGTGTTCAAGTTTCCTGCTGGGTTTTCATTTGGTGTTCTTTTCAGTTTTCTTTCTTCCATTTTTTGGCCACTTTTTCAGATTGTTGGTTTCTTTAAGTGTTTGGAAAGTGTAAAAAGAAAAAAACCCTTAATTTGAAGGAAAAATACTTACATATATAATGACATAGTAATCTTTAAGAAAAACCAAACCCCAAACTAGTAGTACTAGTAAGCCACCTGGAATTTTGGTGAGGATTTTTATTTTTATTTGTTTAGCCCCGATTTTGTTTTTGACCCTATAATATTGCCGTTCTTTCAGTGAGATTTATGTTCATGACTTGGTATAAATGACAGAACGCATAATAGAATTCTTATGTATGCTTTAAATGTGACAAACCAACTATTAATTACTTTCAGGTATTGTAACTTTGTTAAGAACGTGGGCTTTGAAAACAGAAAAACTGGAGTCTATTTCTCATGCTGACAATACTAACTTTTTACTTTAGGTAATTTTGAAAACACTCTAAAGCTGAGTTTCTTATCTTTAAAGTGAGTATGAAAATGGTACTGATCCAAAGGCTATTGTGAGTATTGGCTGCAATTATGCATGTAAAGTACTTGCAAGGGCTCTGGTGCATAGACAAAAACATTTTTCTGAGATCATGGTCATGGGGTCTTACATTGTCTAACATACAAAAAAATGGGGATGCTGAGAGTTCAGTGCAATTTTATTTAGGTTCCACAGTTAATGGGGCAATTTAAAAATTATCTAGACCTATTTAGTTTTTTTTTTTTTAAAGATTTTATTTTTCTCCTTTTTTTCCCCAAAGCTCCCCAGTACATAGTTGTATATTCTTTGTTGTGGGTCCTTCTAGTTGTGGCATGTGGGACGCCGCCTCAGTGTGGCCTGATGAGCAGTGCCATGTCCGTGCCCAGGATTCGAACCAACAAAACACTGGGCCACCTGCAGCAGAGCGCGCGAACTTAACCACTCGGCCACGGGGGCAACCCCTAGACCTATTTACTTTTTACAAGTGGTTTTAAAATTTAAAACAACCATTTTAAAAAGCAACACAAGCTTTCTTTAAATGAAATCCCATGTAGATGGACCATTCCTCTGGTTGAAATGGGGAGTGGAGATCAGTCTCACTTTCTGCAGTGGTTCTCTTATGACAAAGTCCTAATGGCTTAGCAAAGTCTAGTTTAACAACTACTGCACTGGGCTGTAATTTCCATTTGTAGCTCTACTCTTTCTAGTCCTCTTCTGCCATGTGTTGTAAGGACTTGAAACTATGTATTATTGTCAATGTCCTATGTCATTTCTTGCCTCCCTCCTGGAGTTCCTGCTCCTCGCTCTGCCTACATGGTCCTCACTTGTGCTTTTGCTTTTTAGAGATCAGCTCCATTGCTCCAGCTTGGAGATGAAAGCATATGAGGAGAACGTGTTTTAAGGAATAAAAACTTAAAATGCATTAATTAACTATCACAAACATTTTATCCTAATTACAAAACTAAATCAAAGACATTTCACCTTAATTGCTCAAGCCTACTGACCTACATTTTCATTCCATAGTTCTAAGTTTTATAATTTGGGATTTCTCCAAATACATTCTAGGGAAGTTGGTGAAGGCACGTCTAGCTGGTGAACACAGATGTTATTTCATTAACATATTTAGCCAAATCGTGTTGAATCCTTACATACATTTGCTCAAACCAGGGAGTTCCTTTCCTTGAGTTCCTTTTCTCAAAGACTTACAGAAATTTCTGGGGATGTCAACAAGCAGTCATGAGGTTTGTCTGGTTGTAGGTCTTACTTCAGTAAGTCCAGTCCAAAGCTACAGACCTTAGAGTTGCTCCCAAATTCCTGTGAGCCTCAAGGCTTTGCCACAGCTGTCACTGATGAGGGTGGGTATCCTTTATGTTTGGCATAGGGGGTCTTACAGACTGCTCCTGCACCTATAAAGTGTGAATCAGAACATGTCCTATGTGTGGCATTATGGGGAGGAGCTAAAACTTTGCTTGAACAATAAGTGCTAGAGTAGTTGGTGACAGCTCTTTTAATTAAACGAAAATCAAATTCTAAGGATAAAATATGCTTATTTTAAAATTTAAAGCAATACAGATGCATATAGATAAAAAGAGAAATCCCCCGTTTTTTGTGCATTTTGCTCAAATCTTCCCTATATTTCTACTTTTTTGTTTCTTTCTACATCATATATTTGTTTTGATATCAGAGCTCTTAGAAGGAAAGGAGAGAGAGAATGAGGCAGAGGCAATATTTGGGAAGACAATGGATGAAAATATACCAACTTTGTTTTGATTAGTGTTTTATGATATGTCTTTACCCATGCTTTTATTTTCAACCTTCTGTTTTTTCTTTGTTGCATTTCTTACAAGTAATATAGAGTTGGAATTTTAAAAATGTAGTCTAAAATTTTTTGTCCTTTAACTGCAACATGTAGTACATTTAGATCTAATGTAATTACTAACATTTCAAATTGTCCCATCTTTTCTCTCCTTTCTTGCCTTTTTAGGAATGATCATTTTTTACTATTCCAATATTCCTTTTTACCTCTTGAAAGTTGCATGTATGTTTCCTTTCTTTTAGTGTTTTCCCTAGAAACTATAATATGAATAATTAACACATCAAAGTCTAAAGTCAAACAATACCTTTTCCTCTCTCCTAGATTATACCAATCTTAAAAAGCTTTAATTACATTTACTTTCATCTTGATTTATATTATTTTGCTAGGCATTTTAATCCTATCTTTTTTATACTCCATGACACACTATTACGATTATTGGTTTTATACAGTGAAAATTCAATTAG